AAAAAAACAGCGTATCTTCTCCCCCAAAAAAAAAAAAAAAAAAAAAAATACAGCGAGCATCAATTGAAAACTACCCTTGAAATATCATGTATATTCTTAATAGGTATGTAAAATTCAACGATAAATAAATCACTTTTTTTCTTTTTTTTTTTTTACTATCTGATTCACTTTTTTTTTAATTTTCTATTTTCTTAGGAAAAATTGATAGTGTACTACCACCAGTTAAAGACAAGGTTACGTAATTTCTTATAAATCGATGAGCTGCCTGTGAGCGTCCCTTTATTAGCTGTAGTTATTTCACTACATTCTCCATAGTTCTAATTTTTATTCCAATATTACCCTGCCAATATTTAGGAAAAATTGATAGTGTACTACCACCAGTTAAAGACAAGGTTACGTAATTTCTTATAAATCGATGAGCTGCCTGTGAGCGTCCCTTTATTAGCTGTAGTTATTTCACTACATTCTCCATAGTTCTAATTTTTATTCCAATATTACCCTGCCAATATGACTATATGAGAGTGAAAGTTGGCCAAAAGAACTAGTTAAATATGCATGCCCATGGAAAATGAAAAGAAAAAAAAAATTAAAAAAAAGTATGTAAGAAGAAACCTTACAACAGGGTCATAAGCTTTTCGAAAAAAGTTGAATAGAAGGTGATTTATTTAAGTTCCGGATAATTGTATTGATCAGATTAAATAAAATTTAATATATTCACTTCAAAACCCTGAAAGGCCAGGTGTGTGAATGAAACAGAATCATTTTTATTTGTCAATGCCCTATTAACATAATTTAATCATCCTAAAATCCAGTTTGCCGATAACTTTTAACATTACCTTCAAAAAAATAATTAAAAGTAAATCCTAAACCCGGGGAATTAGTATCAAGCTCTAAGTAGCTTTTACCATGTTTAAAACCTTATCAATTTGTCTAACAATAACTTCAGTTTTGGTGATATAGCATGAAAAAAAAAACCTTAAAAACATGAAAAACAAAACTTAATAGTAAAAAAGAAAACTTGTTTTCGTTCAGTTCGCCGATTCGAGTTTTCAATTCAAGCTTAGATGTAACTTTATATGAGAGTTTTTAACAATAGTAAAAAAGTTAGATGTGATTTTTTATGAGAGTTTTTAACTATAGCAAAACTATAATTAAAAACTCGAATTGGTGAAATAAACAAGACCACTTCCACAAAATTCTCCGATTTTTTTTTCTTTGCTTGTTGCAAAATTCTCAGATTTGATCGAGGTGCAAATTACTGCGAATTCATAAAACAAAACTACTTAAAATTAATACACAAGTAGGAGGGAGATCGAGTTGCTTTATCATCTCAAATTCAGGACGAAATTAAAAATTCTTACCTATAGTATTGGTTTGAGCTTCAACCAAATGTCCCCCAAGACTCTCCAGGTGAAATTACAAAGCCTAAACCGGTTAAAAGCAAATACCAAAGAACAAGGAAAAACCATTACTTCATAACACGTGTTGGCAATATTTTCAGTAGCACCATTAAAAAATAGAGATAATTCTTGATTGAATGGGTATATAATTATATTTTAGTGGAGATAATTTTAAGCATAATTGAAATTAATGGGGGCACAATGAAATTTTACCCAAAAAAAAAAAAAATTTAGAGTAAAAAAAAAATTTTTAAAATTTAAATAGAGACACGTGCCTTCACCTACATTAATGTGATTCCGCAATTCGTGGTCATAATCAACTTAAAAGGCTATATGCATACTATCACTGTAGTCGTCTATAAATTAAATTAAAGAAATATCTCATCACTAATGCTAATACTCTATGAATTAATGCATTTTAGGACAAAACAAAATGCTATGTTAACGTAACCCGGTGGATTAACGAGGTTACTCTCACCGTGAGTGTGCTTCACCTAAACGCGCCAAATGATGTCCATCCACCATGTGAGCATCCCGACACAATCCTAATTAGCTCCGAGCACCATATTATTCCGTAAATTGTTCTTATACCACTTATAACTAATAAATTTTTCACGCTAATGATGTTAGTGACCCCTAGATTTGATGGGTTCCGTGGCTTTAATTCATGAAGCTTTGTTTTTAGTTTGGGCCCAAGGCCCATGTCTCTCCCATTGGCATAGGTGTCGTTGCTTTGTTTTGTGAAGCCTCTCTCAGTAAGTCTTAGCCCCGTTCGGTTCGTTAATTCGAGTTTTTAATTCGAGTTAAGATGTGATGTTGTGTGAGAGTTTTTTCTGTACCAAAAAAGTTAGATGTGACTGTTTCTGAAAGCTTTTTACTGTAACAAAACTACCACTTCCACAAAATTCTCCGATTTTTTTTTCTTTGCTTGTTGCAAAATTCTCGGATTTGATCGAGGTGCAAATTACTGCGAATTCATAAAACAAAAACTACTTAAAATTAATACACAAGTAGGAGGGAGAATTGAAAGATGAATGTAACTCTGATCAAAGATTGTGTTGCTTTATCATCTCAAATTCAGGACGAAATTAAAAATTCTTACCAATAGTATTGGTTTGAGCTTCAACCAAATGTCCCCCAACAAGACTCTCCAGCTGAAATTACAAAGCCTAAACCGGTTAAAAGCAAATACCAAAGAACAAGGAAAAACCATTACTTCATAACACGTGTTGGCAATATTTTCAGTAGCACCATTAAAAAAATAGAGATAATTCTTGATTGAATGGGTATATAATTATATTTGAGTGGAGATAATTTTAAGCATAAATGAAATTAATGGGGGCACAATGAAATTTTACCCCAAAAAAAAAAAAAAAATTAAGAGTAAAAAATAAAATTTTAAAATGTAAATAGAGACACGTGCCTTTGCCCACATTAATGAGATTCCGCAATTGGAGGTCATAATCAACTTAAAAGGCTACATGCATACTATCACTGTAGTCGTCTATAAATTAAATTAAAGAAATATCTCATCACTAATGCTAATACTCTATGAATTAATGCATTTTAGGACAAAACAAAATGCTATGTTAACGTAACCCGGTGGATTAACGAGGTTACTCTCACCGTGAGTGTGCTTCACCTAAACGCGCCAAATGATGTCCATCCACCATGTGAGCATCCCGACACAATCCTAATTAGCTCCGAGCACCATATTATTCCGTAAATTGTTCTTATACCACTTATAACTAATAAATTTTTCACGCTAATGATGTTAGTGACCCCTAGATTTGATGGGTTCCGTGGCTTTAATTAAGCCCATGAAGCTTTGTTTTTAGTTTGGGCCCAAGGCCCATGTCTCTCCCATTGGCATAGGTGTCGTTGCTTTGTTTTGTGAAGCCTCTCTCAGTAAGTCTTAGCCCCGTTCGGTTCGTTAATTCGAGTTAAGATGTGATGTTGTGTGAGAGTTTTTTTTGTAACAAAAAAGTTAAATGTGACTGTTTCTGAAAGCTTTTTACTGTAACAAAACTCAAATTCTAAACTTGAATCAGCGAAAAGAACGGGGTATGCTTATGGACACGAGAGAAGATATAGAACAACATCACAGCCGCGAGAGTGATTTGTTATTCTTATTGATACACAGTTTTTTCTCTTTTATTTTGATGTAGGAATATTTAATTATAGAATTATTTCTTTGACAGTAAGGGTTCTTACCTAGTTGAGAGATTTTGGGTGCATTCAGAATTTGAATTGTAAGAGATTTTTGAAAGGCTTTTACAATCTCATTTGGTTATAATGAAATTTCTTCGCCGTTTTTATTCGTGGACGTAAATCAAAAGTCTAACTGCATTAAATCTTTTTATCTCTTGAATTTTTCTGTTATTCATATTTTACTTTGAATCTGTTTAATTTAACGTTTGGCACAACAATATTAACAAAATAAAGCAAAAACACTACTCACCACACACGAAGATGAACAAGAAAAGAAACCACAAATAGATCTAATAGTGCAACATGAATGTTTTTAATAGTCAAATTTGTATCAAATTTTATTGATAGATGCTTTTCCCTTTTTTTTTTTTTTTTTTTTTTTTGTTTTTTTGGTTTTAACCTTTTATGCAATCTAACATTAGAAACTGGGCACTAAGTGGCCAGGACAGAATTTCAAAACCAAGAAAATTTGAGTTCAATTGGTAGTTATACACCAAACACGCACCTCTAGTATTAGGCAAAGGATGAATACTGAGAACAGCTTTTCTGTGTTAGTGGCCATTGAGATCATAGAGGCAAAAAGTATTTTGAAGAAAAACTTGTATGAAAGAATTATTAGCTCAAAACACTGGCGTGTTACGTATATAATTGGATCATGTAAGGTTTTGATGATGACAATTTTAATGTGACTACTTGTCCAATAAACTTTAGTAAAGTAAAATTTGGCTCCAATGGCCAATGCCATTATTTATTTGTTTGTTGGAAAATGTTGCTGTGCATCTGAATTTCGTTTGATCTGACCCTTTCATTTTTAAAATTGTTTTGTCAATAATTGAATATGAATCAACAATACAATAGTATTAACTCGAATCGTTGACTCTTTCGCAAAATCGTTGACTCATTTTAAAAACGTTTGATTTGCTAAATAGTGGATAGGGAGTTTATTTTGATTTTCGACAGAATAATTATAATATTTGTGCGTCCTTGAATCTTGTGGTTTGACATCTTGGAATCTGAATTATAAATCTTAAAACCTCATATTCTTTAGTACTTGGAAAAATATATACCATGTATAGTTTTGCGTTCACAAAGAATACTTCGCCCTTAATGGACGAACTACAAACCCATTGTTCTAAAAATTAGTGAATGAAGATCCAGTACGCTTAAAGCTCAATCCGTACAGAGATTATCAGCTATAGTTGGTGAAAAATGCCATTCTATGGCAATTATTTCGCCAAGCTTCACTGGTAAAGAAAGATGTTGCAAACTATCAAACAAATCTCTTTTTCATTGCTAAATTGATAAAGCATACAATTCTTTTTGTTGATTGCTCAGAAGAACTAATAAAATGTACATCTATTTCTAAAACTCGTGAATTCCTATAAAAATATTTACCAAAAAGTGTTACATAAATGTTGAATTTCGCAAATCAAGTACTGATCTTCTAGAGACAACATAGAATGAGCTAAAAACGAGCCCAGCATCGTGTGCATTGTGCCATACAATCTCCCTTACAGTCTATATTGTAGCCCAATACTCTTGGATTTCGAAGAAGAAGGCTTCGGAGAGTTTTGCCTTTGATTCCCCATTCCTTCTCCAAGATTTGCACATTGCCTTTCAAGTCAACTTCAAGATCACATCCAAGGACTTCTGGAAATTTCTTGAGCAACTTGGCGAGATCATCGTCTGATAGACATAAACTCCGTAAATAATCCAATATTTCGTCCACAATCTCAAGATTTGGCACCACCTTTTTACGTTCTTCACCCCAGTAAGGAGAATGAACCTGACCGAATGCTTTCCCGAGTATCTTGTCCACGTCCTCGCTGCTGAAATTAAAGGTAGACACAGCTTCCTTGCACGCTTCCCATTTCTTCTTGTCTTCTTCGGTAAAAGTCGAATTCCCAATTTGTGTGGTTGACTGCAATGTCCATCTCTTTGAAGGAATGCACAATGTCCAAGCTACTGAGATGGCATTCTGAGAATGACTATCGACGTTATTTGGTTTAGCAGCTGTGACGTCAGGCTGCAAAATTTTTTCAACGAATAAACGCAAGACTTTGCATAGTAAACTCAAGATAGGTGGAATAACATCAATCTTTGGTATCAACTATAGTGCAAACCGTGAGTAGTGGTTGAAGCAGACAAGAAAATATCAACTTCAAACCGGAAATGAATCTTCTTGAAGAAAACAAGAAAATATTTGGTTGTTGCCTTGTTGGTAAAGTACATTTCACATGGTTCAGTATTTCTGCTGTTTGGCTTAATCACCTTGGCTGGTTTAGAAATGCCCGCCTTAGGTTGTTTGGAGCCGGAAAGATGACACTTCCAAGGCTAGAAGGTGACAAGTCAAATAGTTGTGGAAGGAAAAGTGGCGATGATGTATTTCATTACAGGGTATTTTAAAGAATGAATGCGTTTAGAATGGTTCAATATCCAAAAACTAATCTAGTGAATAATCCTACCTTTTTTTAATAACCTAGGGTATCCAGGCCTCTTTGAGCACCTGACTAATCCCTAAGGGTGTGTGTAGACCCTCCTATCCGAACACACCGGGGCAAATTGAGGGAGTCCTACTTGGCAAGAGTTATTAGACTATGCTTATAGCTTTGGAATTTCATAAATCCATCAAGGAGAAATGAAGAGTATGTACTGATAGTCTAACAAAAGGTATGAGTTCCAAACACTAAGAGCTCATTTGGTAGGAAGGAAACGAGAAAGACAGGAGAGGAGTGAGCGGATTAATGCAAGGATTTTGGGACCAAATAGTTGTTTTGTAGGAGAGAGAAAAAGAAAAAAAAAAAGAGGTAAATGGATTGTGTGAGGGATTTCAAATCCTTTAAAGAACATTAATTTTAATCTCTCCCAAAGATTTGAGGAGGCAGTCCATACCAAACACAATATGAGAAAGCTCTTTCCGCTCCTCTACATTTTACTCACCTATGTGATATAGCTTTCTTTTCTTTCTATTTTTTTTTTGGCCTTGCTAAACACAGCCTGACGATGTAATAGAAAGCCTGTTCCAGTTCAAGAAACTATTTCATTGAAAAATTATGTCTATGTTTGGTATATAGGTTCTTCACGGGTTCAAATTCATGGTTTTGATTCTGTTACAGTGTTTTTCTTTTATTAAAAAATTAAATTTTAAAAGTCATAATCAAAATCATTGGTTTGAACCTGGTTTGAACTCATGTACCATATAGGCCCTATGTGGTAGGATATGGTAAGACATACCCCTGAACAGTCATTTAGGCTAATCTGCCCTTTAAACCATTATTCAAATTCTTTTGCTACAGTATTTTGTCCCATAAAAAACTTTATATTTCCGTTCAAACCTATAAATCAAACAATTCCTAATAAAAGCATAACAGTTTAACGGAACTTGATGAAAATCAGATGTGTACTACCATGAGTACCCTCTTATTTCATTCATGTGTGTGCAAACTAACAAGTACACATTTTTGTACGTAGCAAGCACGGATAGAATTTATACGTGTTAAGATTTTATAATACCATAGACAGATTTAAAGGGTACTCACATTAGAAAAAAGTAGTCGTGGTGCACAATTGTAGGTCAGTAGAGGAGAAGCTAAAGATTTTCCTAGCATCCCTGCCCTGTTGACCATTAAATTATCATCCAAATAAGAAATCGAATAGAAGAAAGTCAATGATGTCAAAAAACCAAAAAAAAAAAAAAGGAAAATGGACGCAGAATCGAAATGGAACAAAACAAAAAAAGATAAAAACTAGAAAGTGCAGCAAATTAAAACAAAATGGTCTCTGTTTTCCATGGGAATTTCAAATAAATAATTAAAAAATGAAAAAAAATTTGACAAGAATAACTAACCAGAAATATAGTGTGAATGGGTTTCAAGTTTGACTGACAAAATTGCCGGACGGAGAAAATAAAGATCGCTCGAGAGAGACAAAGAGAGAGAGGGAGAGAAGCTGAGATTAAGATATATGTGGGCGAGCGGAGAAGGGTGCTCTGGCTCAGCCGCAACCGCAAGTTATGGGGGAGAAAATGGAGATTGTGAATGGTAGTCATCTCCGTTTCTGTAGTCCCTGAGAACTAAAGAAGGTGGACCCTACTCCAACTCCAAATAAGATTGCCATTTGCCACATATTTTTCTTCGGACAATAAATAGTAAGATTTACAGTAATTAATTGAAATAAAATAGTACGATTTTAAAATTATTTTAAGTAGATAATAGTGCATTAAAAATTTAAGTGGTAAAAAATTATTTTATTACATAAGTTCAGTTATAAAACAATTTATGCGGTAAGAAATTCTTTTACTGTTATTTAATTAATATAATTTTTGTTAAAATACTTTAAAATATGTTATTTATTTAAATTTAGTTTTAAAAATTCACTATTTACTGTAATTTCTGTTTTTCTTTCTTTATACTTCTTTAGGAGATTTTGCTTTCAAATGAGCATAGCATGTAACTGCTGTAAGTAATTTTTTTTTTTTTTTTACGTATTTACGAGGACTATTTTGATAGGGGCCTCTGCATGGTAGAGTTAATTTCTGACCATTAAATTAAAATCACATTAGATTAAAAAGTATATAAAATAAATAATTTTTAATAATATTTAACAATTGAAAATAGATAATTATCGGTGGTTTATTTTTTTTTAGTTGTTAAGAATTTAAAAAAAAAATAGATTACTAAAATTATTATTGGTTGGAATTAAAGTATCTAATCAATTATTTTTAGATTAGGTAACATACCCTCTTTAAAATTGTGGGTATATTAAACTATGGTATTTCTAAAATTAATCCAATTTTCTACTTTTTAAAAGGCCAAAAAAAAA